CCCACCCAGGTCGGGCTTTCCACTTCTCTTGAGGCTCCTGAAGTCTCTGCTTCTGGCTCTCCCCACCACGCTCAAACTCTTCGCTCACAATCCTCCCACTTTAAACCCCCTCCCTTGTGCCCTGCTGCCAACCTAACCCAACGACAACTTCAAAAGCCTGCATTGCGCGCAAAAAAACACCTCGATCCATCACTCCAGCACTCTGCTGCCCCCATCTCACCCCCCCAAACAGCACACAGCTACTGTCTACACCCACCGGCTCTCAGCCCACGATCGCCACCATTCACTCCCAACACCACGAGACCACCGACCCTTTTCCTGGTACACAGAGCACAAAGCTGTTTATGTATCAGCACGACCAAACCGCCGTCATCAGACACTTTCTCCCCACCAAGCTGCATCCGTTTCGTATAGAACGGAAGCCCAGTAGCCCCAACATCAGTACCTCCGTCGGTTGAACCATCATATCAAGCAACGAGTTCATGTTGTCCTACAAGCAAAGACGATCCAGTCACAGCATACCCCATGTCCATTATACGATCTCTTGAGCATTAAAGCCACTTTCCTGCTCCTCCTTACAACCCCGACACGCTTCGGCCCTTAACCAACAACGATCAATACTCGTCTTCCATGTTCTTAGGAAGATCCAGCGCCAGCACCAACAGCTTCGCCTCCCAGCATCAAGACTCGAACCTCTAGACAACGCCCCACGCCGCCTACGTAGCTATCCTCTTCACTCTCCTAACGAGCCGCTTTATACCACAATACTCGTCGTCCCGACCGTACAACATCCACTACCGCAATCATGGCTCTCGTCAACGTTCGTCGCGATGTCGCCGACCAGTTCTACCGCTACAAGATGGAGCGCCTCCAGACCAAGATTGAGGGCAAGGGCAATGGCATCAAGACCGTCATTGTCAACCTGACCAGTGTCGCCCAGTCTCTGGCCCGCCCCGGCGCCTACCTCATCAAGTACTTCGGTTTCGAGCTCGGTGCCCAGACCAACATTGACCCCGCTGACGATCGTTGGATCATCAACGGTGCCCACGATGGCCCCAAGCTTCAGGATCACCTTGACGGCTTCATCAGCAAGTTCGTGCTTTGCAAGAAGTGCAAGAACCCTGAGACGGACGTCATCATCAAGGATGACCACATTATTCTTGACTGCAAGGCCTGCGGTCAGCGCACTGACGTCGACATCCGCCTCAAGCTCAGCGGTTTCATCCTCAAGAACCAGCCGAAGAAGGGCAAGAAGGACAAGGCCGAGCGCAAGGCCGCTCGCCGCGCCAAGCAGCAGGCCCAGGCCAACGGTGGCAAGGAGAACGGCGCCAACGGCCACGGCAGCGGCAGCGGTGGCGAGGGTTCCGAGAACGGCTCCAACGACAACGACGATATTGATGCTGGCAGCGACGATGAGTTTGAGAGGCTGAAGAACGAGGCTCAGGACGCCGAGCAGGAGGTCGAGGTTAAGGACCACGAGTGGGCCGTCGACATGAGCGAGGAGGCCGTCAAGGCCCGTCAGGCTCAGCTCCCCGGCGAGTTCAAGCAGAAGCTCAACATTGGTGATGACGAGGATGAGGATGGCGAGGGCGGTGGCAACACCGTCTACGACCAGCTCGGCGCCTGGATCATCGAACAGACTGAGGAGAAGGGCAGTGTGGACAAGGTTGATTCGATTGAGATCTTTGTCAAGGCCAAGGAGCTCGGCATCGAGGGCAAGCACCGCGCCGTCCTGGTTCTGGTCCAGACCATCTTTGACGAGAACGTTCTCGCGCAGATCACCAAGCGTGCTCCCATGCTGAAGCAGGTTCGTACCGTCCGCCGGGTACCCTTGACAAGACACAACACTAATTTTGCGTCTAGTTTGTCACCTCTGAGCGTCACGAGAAGGCCCTTCTCGGTGGCACCGAGCGTCTCATCGGCTCTCTCATTGGCGAGCACCCCGATATCCTCGAGAAGGTCGTCAAGATCCTGCAGCTCTACTACAACCACGACCTCCTCAGCGAGGATGTCGCCGTCAAGTGGGGTAGCAAGGCCAGCAAGAAGTATGTCGACCTCGCCACCTCCAAGAAGGTCCGCAAGGCCGCCGAGCCCTTCCTCACTTGGCTCCAGGAGGCTTCCGAGGAAGAGGACTCGGACGACGAGTAGATGTACCACTGTATGTCTCTCGGGTTTGAGAATCTTTGCCTTGATGCCTGGTTCTGTACCACACGGGGACTTTTTTGGCCTCGGCGTTGTAGCTGCGACTCCGCTCAGTTTTATGTGCAAGGGATTGGAACAGCGTAGCTTAGATTGACAATATACGCTTCTACAATCTCATCACTATTATCATTGCTTCTCTGCGAGCTTGCTTTTGATTGCTTGTAAGGTTTGATGCTGCCATGAAGTGTACCTCTGGTTTCTTTCTCACATGAGCCACCAGGTTGGCATGATCTTGCTCATGGAGAAGTGACGCGCAATAGAATAATGTCATGCGCCGTTGAGATACATGGCATGCCCAATCAGCAGCCTTCTGAAACCTTATCTCCGTGCCACTCGCCGTTCCGTCCATGACTCTCCTCGAATACCTCGCCGCGATGTGATACCGTCACCACATGGTGATTTCGTTGCCTCCCAAGAACACTGCTGTCCTGACTAGTGCGCGTCTAACAATGTCAAATAACGCCATGATAAAGCCGCAAATACGCAATGCAGTTCAAAAACCCTCCACGGAAGGGTGGGTACTGTAAAGGAAATAAGGCCATGATGCCAAAAGAGAAAAAATCACCACCTGATGGCACGTCGCGCCTGGTATCGCCCTTGACGACTCGCAGCCAACTACCACTGCGTGTCCGGGACGGCTTGCGCCGCCGTGGTATCGCCCCAAGGGAAGCCACCGTTCTGCTCCTTATTGGGCGTTGAATCCCAGGCTCCTGGCATCTTGCTTGAAGGGTCCTCACCGCCAGTATTGCCCTTGCTCCAGTCGTCTGTCGGGCCCCAGGCGTTGCCAGAATCAGCGGCATCTCCAGGTGCACCAACTGGGCCGGCATTGTTAGTATAATCTTCAGCGGCCGCAGTCGATTTCTGCGACTTGCTGGACTTCTTCGAGCCCCCAGAGCCACCCGACTTGTTCGAATTGCCGCTGCTGACGCCAACGTTGTTGCTCGAATCACACCAGTCGTCAGCCTGTGGTTTCGCCGCGCTACGATTCGATGTCTTTGAGCCCTTGGAATTGTTGGAACTAGTAGCCCAGTGCTTGTTGGTGTCATGATCCCAGTTGGGGTTCCAATCAGTGCCATTACTGTTACCGTTACCATTGCTGGTGGCAGCGCAGGTTGAATCGTTGTTCGCAGTCCATGTGGCTCTGTTGGATCCGTTCTGGCTTCCATTACGGATATCATTATTCCCATCAGTCTGCTTCCAATTAGTTCTGCCGGGGCCGTTCCTGTCTGCAGAGGCTGTCATGTGCGTAGGGCCCCAACATAGGTCCTGATGCTTTGCCCTCGAGCGGTCGTTGCTGTTATTGCTGCCGTTTGTACTTCCTTGCCGAGCCTCATCGCGATTATACATGGCAGGGCCCATGTTATTTTGTAAGCTCCCGTCCCAGAAGTCCTTGGTGCCAAGGGGAATGTCGCTCCTGGACTTCCCCGGGCCTTTGCCCAGATTTGCGTACCTTTCCCGGCCCTCCTTGGTCCATGGATCAGGTCGAGCCGCATACGAGTACATGTTAATGTTTATAGGAAGTGAAGGGGATACCTGAAAGCTGTTAGGACACTTCGATAAGATGGAAACACTTCTGTTGGAAACTCACCTGCTTAGCGCTAACCGGCGGTCCAGTTTTGGTGTCCCAAGCTCTGTCCTTATCCCCGGCCGACATCGAGGGCATGCCGTCGTTCAGCGCACCGGACATGAAGGGCGGCGACATATGCTTTATGGACTCATGAGATCCCCTCCTACCCGCAAACGTATCCCGAACCCAAGGAGTTGGGGCAGGAGCCGCTCCGACACCGTCAGGGCCGAAAGGGGGTTGTGGGTCGCCAGGCCGTGAGCCAAGTGGGAAAGAGTTCCAAGGGGCTTGACCGCTGAATTGCATGTCTCCTGGGTTAGAGGGTTGGTGAAACCCTTGTTGCCAGGGGTTGCTCGCAGGATGCGGCATACCAGCTGGCAAGTTCGCTTTCGTAAGGTCTCTCCGGGGGTATAACATGCCGTATGGATTGCCATAAGCAGGACCATGATAGACACGCACAATGCCATGCTCGCCGCTATGGTAGGCATTCGGTCGAGGATCTTCGGCTCCCTCGATGGTGTGCTCGACCTGTAGGACCTCGGCGCGAATTGGCATGATGAGGTTGGGTAGTCGTGGATGCGGCTGGGGAAAGCCTTCGGGCCTTAGCTTTTCGAAGCTTGAAGCCACGGATGAAGGCCCGTTCTTCTTTCTCTCCTTGGCCTTTCGATCTTTCTTGCTCATCGGTCCGACATTGTTATCTTTGACGACAGCCTTGTCCTTCTTGTCCTTGGTCTTGGGGTCTTTGTCGGACTTTTCACCCTTCTTCATTTTCATTTTCTTTTTCTTTTGGGACTCATCTTCGCTGTCAGAGTTCTCATCGCTTGCTTCGTCTTCCTCACCCGTTATTTTCTTCGCATGTTTATTCTTTCTGTCGGCTTGCCTCTTATCGTGCTTCTTCTTGTCGGGTTTCGCGTTCTCCGAGTCGGACGAGTCGTCAGCAACGGCAGAATTGGACTTGCCCTTCTTCCCGTTTTGCTTCTTCTTATTTTTCGGCGTCTCTTCATCGGAGCCAGATGAGTCGTCTCCTTTGGCTAACTTGGCTCTTTTTTTGGTCTTCTTGTTCCTGGCTAAGGTGGTATCAGTATCTACGGTGTTCTCTCCTAGAAAAGTCGCGATGTAGCAGGTTGCTCAGAAATAGCTCACCTGAAGCCACGTCGGCTGACTTATCACCAGACGTCTTCTTAGAAGACTTGGACGAGTCAGAGCTCTTAACAGAATCTTCAGTCGTCTTACTCTTAGATCTGGACCCTTCCGCATCGGAGGCTTCCGAGTCGGATCCCTTCTTGATGGCGGACTTGGTGGGCTCCTTCTCGAATCGGACCTTCTTCACCATCGTATCGGTCTTTTCGGCGCCACTAGAACGCGGGTACGTAATCTTGAGCGTGTCTTCCTCGGACTCGTCGTCGGTGGAGATTTCGACCCGGAAGCGCTCCTGGCTGCTGCGGCCCGCTTGCTTCTGTCGACGACGCTGCTGCTGGGCGTGGATCTCCTCAACGGTGAAGCCCAGGGCCCACTCGCAGAGAGTAGGCGTTCTCTGCTTCTTGGCCATGGTCAGAGTATTTCAGAAGCTTGGGGTAGATGGATAAAGATGCTGTAGATCGAGGGACCCCGAATTTTCGCTCCCAGTGTCGGATGGCAAGCCGTGAATCCTAAATTTTATGTATCAGCCAAGCGAGAGGTATCCCAGTGGGAATCTCAGAGAGATGCGCCGAGTGTTTTCCCAGTGGGTTTGGCCACGCTTTTCAGAATTTACCTGACTTAATGTGATGCAACGCTTCTCATGATTTTGTCGACACGTTGAAGGTGCAGTCTACTGCTTCAGTGTCGGGCTGGTGTTGCGAAAGAGTAAGAAAACCGAATGCCAGAGCTTTTGGATAGCTGTTCAAGATTGTCTCGTTCGAGAATCCGAGAAAGCAGGCACGCAATCGTGGCATCGAGTGTAGGAAGGAGCAGGTTTGTCCGCCCGCAAACTGCCACTAGCTGTCGTAAAGGTCAGGCAGCTGCATTGGAAAACACGCGCCAATACTGAGTACAATTGTGATAAGAGAACGACGAAAAAGAAAAGGCCTCCCAATTGAATGTAACCGCTGCGCTCAAATGACCAAGACCTCCAGTTATGTCACGACCTTCTCGTTCACAACTTCGCCCTCTCTGCCAGCTCCTGCTCATGCCACCGCTTGTTGATACGCCCATTCTGCCAGTACCTGAACAACCCGGCGAGGATCGCCAGGGGTGGCGCCCCGAGAAGCAGCAAGTTCCACCAGCTGGGTGACTTGGCCTTGATTCCCTTGATGGCTTCGCCAATCTGCTTCTCCAGCTCCTCCCTTGACCCGTCATTCCAGAGCACCAGCCCCTTGCCCTCGCCCCTCGCCTCACACCGCCTTGCCTTCTCCCGGACATCGCCCTGGCTGATGACTCTGTTCCTCGCGTCCTCCTTGCTCAGATGCGCGTCTCGCGCCCTCAGCCTCGCCATCTGCACCTGCGGGTCGCGCACCGCCACGACGGTGACGATGCCGCACATGCGGTCCATCCCCGCCTCGAAGAGCAGCGGCACATCGAGCACGACGGCCCAGTTCCCGCGCAGGTAGCAGCGCAGGATGGCGCGGTACATGGCCCACCGCACGGCGGGGTGGACGATTCCGTTGAGCACGGCGCGGTCGGCGCGCCGCTCAGGGGTGTCGCCGAAGACGCGGCGACCGAGGGCTGGTCGATTAAGGGGACGACCCTTGCCGTCTGGTCCACGTGCCGGCATGGTCTCTGAGGCTGGGACGAGAAGATCTGGTGTCGAAGAGGCAAAGTGCGAAACGATAGCGGCGTAGCCGCTCGTGCCAGGCTCGACAACCTCACGAGCGAGGAGGTCGGCATCGATGATAGGGATGGAGTAAGGAGGTTGGGAGAGAATCGAGGACACGGTCGATTTGCCCGTGGCGATGGAGCCCGTAAGGCCAATAAAGAGCATCCTGGCTGTTGGACGTGGGGACTTGGTAATTGTGAAGGGTTGGATGATATGGCTGTGGTCTGCGGCTTTGGGCAGACAATCTTGTAATAAAAGCTACGTTGACGGATCAAGACTGCCCACTCTGATGATAAGTACCTCAATCAAGAAGATGAGATGAAGTAAGGATGGTGGTCTGATCGATGGCGTTGATGATCGGAGATGGTGGGGTCCAACTTGCCGAGGTCTAGCGTTCCACCCCGCCAAACATTGAGCCTCAAACGAAACCTCATTTCAACGTCACCGTCACAAGCTTCGTCACCAACGAGCATTTCGGTACACAAAACGTTCTCACGGGATATCTTCGTGAATTTTCTGTCAATCTCGTTCTGTCCTGCATCCTTGAATCATCATTCATTCGTATCGAGCATGTTCCAAATCCTACCCAGAACCCATTCACCTTCCTGACTGGCGAGTCAACGCTGATCTGTAAGTCGAGGATAGAGCCGTGGCCTTGTGGCATCTGCTCTGAGGTGTCAGCCAGGTCTGATCATCAAGTATGGCTGACAAGCAAACGAACATGTCTGTGGTTGGAATCACGCCGAAGAACTGTACAGTCGCGCCTCCAGCGCACGAGGAAACCAAAGTGAAAGCAAAACTTGATTCCTGTTTCAAAAACGTGTCAGCGTAGAACACAGTTGCAAAAGATGAACTCTGAAAGTACCATTGCGCACAAAAATACCTTGGGGTGTAAAGCCAAACCTTGCATCAGCAACAGGTGCCTAGCCCAACTGGAGCAGTGTCAACAAACGGCTGGAATCGAAGAACCAAAGACGCACTTACCTTAGCTATGCAGAATCGGTTCCTAGTTGGGAAGACGGACGGCATAGAAATAGCCGCCCTCAGAGACGTACCAGCGGCAATCGCCGAGGTTGTCAATAGTATACCGGTTGCGCTGGGTCCAGTTACCATCCACCTCACGAACCGGGTAGTAGCGCGAGGGGTCGTCATCGGCAGGCTTAAAGTCCTGGGGCTCATAGAGGCCGTTGGCGTAAGCGAACTGGGCGTTCTCCAGAGCCACCTCGCCAGATGTGCGACCGACGCCAGAAACGTCAGGAGGAAGATGAAGAGGGTTGTTACCTGCGATCAGCACGCTAGGAGGAGGAGCACCAGGGGGGCCGCCACCGCCACCAACAACGCCGCCAAAGCCCATGGCTGCGTGAGGAGGACCCATCACCATGCCATTACCCATGACGGGGTAGCCAGACATGCCAGGCTGAACCATGGGAGCATTCATGACCATGTGCTGGGGGACCATGCCGGGGTTGTGGGGCATGCTAGGCTGCATCATGCCAGGCTGGACGGGGACGACCATGGGGGGATGAAGGCCCATCTGGGTTCCAATATAGGTAACGTTGCCAGGCTGCTGCTGTCAAGAAGGCATGTCAGAAAACGCTCATATCGGATCAAGACAAAAATGAAGACCAGGCATCGAGCTGATTTCTCTCAACCACTTGGCAGGAAGATCAGACTCTACATGGGACGACTTGCATAGTAATGATAGTAGGCGGGGCTGTTGTTGGGAAGGATGGGACGGTCGACCAGATAGCCAGCAGGCGGGAAAACAGTGCGGGGAACGAAGAAAGAAGGATCGTTACAGACATTCTGACCATGGACAAAGTAAGCACCATTGTCAAACCGAGGGCGGTAGACATGGGTCATGGGTCCATAGGTCGTGTCAGGAACGGGGGGCTGGTAGCTGGGGCCAGCAGGGCGAGGACCGCCAAACTGGTAATCGGCCATGGCTGGGTCGGGGATGATGTGGCCGGGGTTGGTGTTGAGCGGGATCTGATTGATGGTCGGAAGCTGGTTGCTGCCGGGGTTCTTGAGGTTGGCAGAGAAGTTGATATAGCCAGCAGGGCCAACTGAGCGACCAGGGTTGGTCGAGAAGTGTGTTCCGTAGCTGACGCCGTGCGTAGGGTTGGCGCCGATGATGGGAGCAGGACGATAAGTTGTGTTGGTGTTGGTGTTTCGGCTGCCGACGCGGTCACGGTCGCTTTTATGCTTTTCGTCGGTGTTCTCGCTTCCAGGCGAGGAAGGAGCGTCTTTTTCACGCTCCTTCTCCTTCTCCTTCTGCTTCTGCTTGCCGTTGCTCAGAGAACCAGAGCCAGAAGCACGGGCCTCATCTTCCTCGTCCGAAAAGTGAACCTGGTGATAGGCTCCCTCCTTCTTCTTGGAAGGCTCGGTAGTTTTGATCATGGCGGAAGGTGTGCGCGTTGTAGTCATCCGACCTTCAGTGGCCAGTCTGATATGGTGGTGTGAGGCTTCTTGATTTTGAGGTGCGTGACAAGAAGGCAACGTCACGTGGTGGTGTTGGAAGCAAAACAGTCTCAACAAGAGACTCTTTGAAATTCGTTTGTTTCTTTTGAGTTATCTCGTGGAGACCTGCTGCTGGAACCAAGATAAAAGCGGCTTCAAAATCGGAGCCTGTCGAGCTACCTTGACGTCGCTCCGAATCGCTCCGACAAAGTACCAGTCTGTGCCCGCACAGCAGATGCCCCATTCACAACATGAGAGGAGGTCCTGACGTCCAAGCCAGTACAGCCCGAAGCAGCTGTCACACTGGCTACAGTGCTCAAAGACTACCCTCAAAGGCGAGGAGAGCAGCCAGTGAAGTCAACTGGTGCTGATAAGATGCAAATACAAAAGCTGCCTTTCTCCTACTGTCCACCAACAGAGCCTGCAGAAAACATACCCTAGGTGAACTCTAGGTGTCCAGGCTCACGAGCCAAAGCCTTCTGGCATCCCCTCACTGCTCAGACGTTGCCGCGGATATTCACTTGAACCCACCATACAGCAGAGGACACAGACTCGATCGAGCAAGAGGATCCAAGGGGCACTCATGTAACAAAAAAGAGAAAGACACATTCACCTACACGTTTGAGTACGTAGCGGCCATTCTCAAGCACGTATCGCCATTGCCGTGGGGGCGCTTCTTCCTCGTACGCGATGTCTGTAAACTTGAAGCACATGTTGGTTGCTCTGTTGCTGTGCAGGCCTTTGGCGAGTCCAAATTGATTTATCTGATCAGACGTTCTCACTGTATCTTTCGAACAGAGCACAAAAATGTTGAGAGGGGATGATTTCAAGGAGGAAGGGTAGGTGCTCGAGGTTGGGCACGTTCGCTCGTGCGGGGGGCTGCGCTGGAGTGTGGCTGAGGAGACTGAAGCATTGATATAGGAGGGGAACTGCCCTATGGCGAGGCATCAGGCGAGTATTCTTTCCGGATTGCCATACCCTTTGCCATTTATCGAGATTAGCTTGGTACTTAATATTCTACGCCCAACTCTGAGTATTGCGAACCTCCCAGAACTCATCTGGCGATGAGCATGGTAAGCCTTCACGACACTTGTTTTACAATTCTAAGCCGTGTGCAGGACAAGGTCTTGGGCTTAAGAGATGATGTAGATCTCATTCTTGCCAAGAATTGATTCCTTATGAAACAGTTGGTCTGAACGCACAGCTGCTATTCTATTCGGCACTGACCATCGAGAACCGCAATGGCTGTGTCATGGCTCCCCCAAGCCCTGAGTTCAGTTTGTTCATTCAATGGTCTTCTCACGTCCTTGCTTTCCAAAATGAAGCATTGCGCCACATATGAAGGAATGAGGGGGAAGCATTCACTCATTCCGGTATCGTATCTCCTCGGCCAAGGCAAGATTTCTCCTAACACGATTGTGTCTCGAGCAATCGTCTTTTATGAACTTGCCAAAGTCGGCGCTATCGTAGCGCTCATGTGTGGTTCCAAATTAGTAAAGATAAGTGAAAAGGCCATTGAATTGGTCGTGAACTGCTCCAGTAAATGCGAAGCACTGGTGTCTCGGGGCTTGGGTTCGATTTTGCCATCAACTGTGATACTGAGGAGGGAGAGACTGGCAGAGTTGATATCGCAGGGACTGCGAGTAAAGACCTGGCCGAACCTAGTGAGCAAGATGTCATCCAAACATGGACCAGTGGTTGTGGGATGTGAATTCAAGCTCGTTAAGCCCGTCAAGCTCGTCTCAGACCAGGTGCGCCTCCTGGTCGATGCTCGTCTGCGGCGGCAGATGGCAGTCACAAGCGCAACCGTGTGGTCTTTCAACAAGAGAATCTACTTCCATGTGAGCAAGCACCCCAACCCACCAAGCTTTCCAGAATATGCACCTGTCACGAGACACACTCACTTCAGTTGGGGTAACAAAAGTCTGTCATTTCGACCGTCCTGCCTTGCACGGCAGGATCCGAACGCCTGTTACCGTCCGATGCGTTCTTCTAGCGCTCTTCCGCCTTCTACCATAGTATACAAATGTCACAGGCACACATGGCCCCCTTGTGCCCAAAGAGGAGAGAGATCCGTTCCGTCGCAATGCTCCGTGAAGTGAACTGGCCCCCTCCACACCGTGTCGCAGGAAAGCTCCCAATTGTTTCCCCGCGACTTTCACTTTTTTACTTCGGTCTACCACTACTCAAACATGCACGGCGTGCCTCGGCTCAGGCTCGCTCCAACTCCGCTCGGCGGGTCTCGAAAGAGAAAAAGACCTCGTGCCACAGATCTCAAGGTCTATTATCAGAAGGTAAAGGAGAAAATTGGGATGCAAGGCGTTGCGTCATTGTTGTTACAGAGTGGCGTGCTCGTGCTCGCGCTCGTTGACCTCGGGGATCGTGAAGAAGGTCCTGCGGGTGACCTGCCCAGCTGTTAGCATTCCATGGTCCGAGTAGAAAGAGAGGGAGGGAGGGGACCAAGCACGTACAGCCCAGGCACCGGCGACACCGGCAACGATACCACCAGAGATGAGCATGGGGCGGAGCCCCCGGGTGCTCTTGAAGAGCATGCCACTCAACGCGCCAGCGGCAATGGTGTTGGCGGCGTCGTGCTTCCCCCTGAAGTACCCGATGGCGCCGTTGAAGCAGTTGTAGGTGATGGCGACAACGCCGGCGGAGTTGCCAAGGAAGGGGCCACGGCGGGTGACGGCGTTGAGGACGGAGTTCAGGCGCAGCTTGGGTGGCTGGTTGACGGACCGCCTCAAACCCTCCTGCAGGCCCCAAGCACCTCCGAGGCCGAGGGCGGTGAGATATGTGACGCCAGCGCCGTAGCAGAGATCATCTGTGAAGCCGCGCGAAGGAAGGACGGACTGGCCGCCTGGGACATCGGAGAGGGCGGCGTCTTCGAGGGAGAGGTATTCGAGAGTGTCCTTGTTGAGACCGGACAGAGGGTGTAGTTGAGAGGGATCGGAGAAGCTGGAGCTCTGGAGGAAGGCCTCGACGCCTTGTCCTTGGGATGGGTCGAAGGCCGTAGACTCGAGGGTCGATCTGGGCTGCGAGGAGGGTTGCGCCGGGGCGTACGTAGCGACCGCGTCCTTCTGCGAGGACTTTTGTCCGCTAAAAGTGTTCCAGAGAGACGACATGACTGTGAGGGATGGATGTGATGACGGTGGGGGTACTTTCTTGTCGTGCTGCCACGGAGGTTGATGTGGTGTTGAGCCCGAGGGGATTCAGGAGGCCAGTAGCGCGGCTGTAGTCGGAGCCGATGATGATGATTTGGGAGGTGTCGAAAAAAATTGGCCGCCGTCTGGGCCAACTGGGCCAAGTTCGGGCTCGGCGCCCCAGCGCGACATGGCCCTTGCGCAGAGGAAGAGCGGCATCGGCTATTCGCCGGTAATACTGGACGCGGCTGAGTCAGCTCTCTGAAATCTTGTGGTGCGTCCTGTGTAAGGCAGTGGTGGGTCAAAGCCATTTACGGTCGTGGTTGCTCTCTTGTGCTTCATTCGGCTCTGCCCTGTCCACGATCATCGCATAGATATGGACTTGTGCATTGGAGGTGCTCAGTGACCCGCCATTGTCGAGGACGAGGACAAGGTGGCACGACCATACTCGGCGAATCCTACATCAGGGCCATGCCCAGTCCGCGTCGACCCATTCAATGCTGCAGGCAGGAGATGCTGGAGATGTCAGACCCGCCTGACAGCAAGCCGGAAATCTGTCGATCAACAGACATGGTTCGCTAGATTAGTCGACCACGCTTTTCACGATGGAGATGGAAGGGCGGTACCAACCGACCCCAAAGGTCATTCAGGGAGACGAGACAAAGCGACAGACCGACGCAGGTACACAGCCCTGGCAACCTACCGACGGCTGATTGATTGCGACGCCCGGTTGGCTGCGCCTCGAGCAATTTCAACTATGTAAAAAGCGCGCATCAACCAATCACATCCAGACGATAAGATCAACCTCGCGAATAGGAACCGACATGAAATTCTCTGATGACCTGGACAGCACGAACTAGAGGTTCGAGCTTACGATGTACGGACTCTGGGGCCGCTCTGGAGAACCCAGCACCGTGGGGTTTGTCGGGAAACAGACACCGAATCGTGAGCGACGCATTTGCGATCGACCTGAAGCAGGTCGTACGAACGTTGGCGCTGGGGCTGGTCTGGAGGGCTACGACACAACTGCGGCGAAGGGAAAAGCTAGAATGTGACATTCGTGTAACATCAGCCACTGCGCACCTTAAAAAGCAAGCCGATCTCACTTTCAGGAGAAACACAAACGCGCGTGCCGGCATCGGCCTGCAGGTTCCGAGACGAAACTGAGGGGCCAATCCTCTCGGAATAGATACCACGAGAGAGGAAGAGAGAGAAAAAAATACCTCCAGGGCCGCGAAGCCGCAGACTGCTATACAAGTACAGGCGCAGATACAGACAGGGCGGAGGAAAATAGCCTAATGCGCCAGTCTCCATTGGCTCTCTTGACCAGGCCGACCGACGTTGGCGCCATCCACGACGGGGAGAAGCATGGGACACCTGGGGAGGGGGCATGATACCTGGGGAAATCAAGCCAGCCGTGCTCCCAAGCCAGAGGCATTCCATAATGTACCTCTGCCACCAAGGTCCGACTCGCGGGCACGTTGCCGTCATGCAAAAAGGTCTGCAGCAGTCCATCCTCTCAACGTGCGAGGACGCGCGAAACTCGAGTCTTCCCGTCGCAGACGGAGGCTATCGTCAAAAATTGATACCGCGATGTTGACCTTGGCCGCAGGTGACCATGCGAGATGGCTGGCAGGTGAGAGAACGATGTGGTGGGGGTACACCGGAGCACACTGACAACCTGCATGGCAATCCCACCCCCCCTGAAGTGGTATTCGGGGTCCTTATCTCGAACTCAAGACTGGCTGGGCTTTTAGGTTGGCAAGGAATCCAGGTTGCCAGGCTCGACACCCCTTCACCCACCCCACCTCCCTCTTCCCCAGGACACAGAGCATACGAGCACAGAGGTTCTCGTAGATAAACCGCCCTTGCCCCTCAGCTCTCCCTCCTCTCGACGATCTGATTGTTTTACTTTTCTGTCCTTCTGGTCCAGAGATAGATTTCTGCTCCTTTCCTCCTTCACAATTGTCCCCCCGCTAACATCGCGATAATCCGCAAAAATGGTGAGACCTGTTCCCCCTTCACCCCACCATCTGCTTGCCGCGCTCTGGCGCTCCACATCTCCGGAGCCGGACCGGCGGCGTCCCACAATTTCCCACCGGAATCACGCACACGATACTAACATGTTGTCGCAGGCGACTCCCTCCTCCAACATTTCCAGGACCGACACTGTGAGCTCACGATCGAGGCCGGCGCATGATTTCTGGCCATGCTGACGCGACATGACAGTTGTCGAAGTACCTGAAGCTCGACCAGAAGGGCAGCATCATGGCCGAGTACATCTGGATCGATGCCGCTGGCGAGACTCGTTCCAAGTCCCGCGTAAGCAACTCTACAAGAGCCCACGTCAGCCGCGGGGCGGCGCGATGTTCCGACTGCTAACATATGTCACGCGACACAGACGCTGAAGGAGAAGGGGTACACGCCTGATGACCTTCCCACCTGGAACTTCGACGGTTCCTCCACCGAGCAGGCTCCCGGTGACAACTCTGACGTCTACCTCAAGCCCGTTGCCGTCTTTCCCGATCCTTTCCGTGGCACTCCTAACATCCTCGTCCTCGCCGAGTGCTGGGATGCCGACGGCTCGCCTAACAAGTACAACTACCGTTACGAGTGCGCCAAGACCATGCAGGCTCACGCTGCGCTCGAGCCGTGGTTCGGCCTTGAGCAGGAGTACACCCTGCTCGACCTCAGCAACCGTCCTTTTGGGTGAGACAGCACCTTGCAGCCAGCAACAGTGTGTAACATAAGCTGACCCCCTCCCGCCAGCTGGCCCTCGAACGGTTTCCCCGCCCCCCAAGGCCCCTACTACTGCGGTGTCGGCGCTGGTAAGGTCGTCCAGCGCGACATTGTTGAGGCGCACTACAAGGCCTGCCTGTACTCCGGTGTCAAGATCTCTGGCACCAACGCCGAGGTCATGCCTGCCCAGTGGGAGTTCCAGGTCGGCCCCTGCGTCGGTATTGAGAGTGAGTTGCCCTGCCGCTTGCCACTGCCACCCCTCCGACGTGTATGCTGACCTGTATTAGTGGGTGACCACCTCTGGCTCGCCCGTTTCCTCCTTGCGCGCATCTCTGAGGAGTTTGGTGCCAAGGTGTCCCTGCACCCTAAGCCCATTCCCGGTGACTGGAACGGCGCCGGTCTGCACACCAACTTTTCCACCAAGGACATGAGGGTAGAGGTAAGCTCACATCGCGCCACCGCTCGGGAGAATGCGGCTAACAAGAGCAGGGTGGCATGAAGCACATCGAGGACGCGATCAAGAAGCTTGAGGGCCGCCACAAGGAGCACATTGCCGTCTACGGCGAGGACAACGACCAGCGCCTGACGGGCCGCCACGAGACGGGCGCCATCGATCAGTTCAGCTGGGGCGTCGCCAACCGTGGCGCCTCCATCCGCATCCCCCGCGAGGTCGGCGCCAAGGGCTACGGATACTTCGAGGACCGCCGCCCCGCCAGCAACTCGGACCCTTACAGGATCACCCACATTATGATGGAGACGTGCTTCGGCGCTTCGGACTAAGACATGGAAACAAAAGGCAGATACCCTCTTTCGCTACTACTCTGGTGTTGAGCTGGCACGGAGGTTCCGGGCCAGCTGCGCGTGGGTTAGATGTGGGTGCGCGGTAGCTTATTCCCCCAAATGAGAAATGGTGTTATGATCAATGATGAGATGATGTCACTCGCTGATGACACCAGCGGAAGAGTTCTTTGGGCATATAAGACCAAGCGGAGTGCTTTCTCTCATTGTAAGAATGGCTGTCCCGAGCTTGGGCACTCCTCGACTCGTCACATTGTCGGGCATCGTGTCAAGTTTGCGTGTGACACATGAGGCAAACTGCCCATCATTTTCAATGGCCTGTCATTACTGGCCGAGGGTTATCATCTTGCGGCCAGGCCCGAATGTACAGTCGCGCTGCTCAGACAGCCCCTTCCTATTGAATCGGGCCAACGCATGAAGAAGAAACCGTCGCGTGTAAACCGCGAACTGGGGAAAACGACATCTCCACACTGACATGAACCAAGCGGCATCTTCACTTTCGACATTTTCCCGCACACGGTGGTACAGGTCGAAACTCACAAAGTTTGCAGAGTTGATGCTGGATTCTGTTTGCGCACGTTCGTGAAGCGTATCACCACGGCATCTCGCGCAAACATAGCCATGGTCATGTCGCCTTGATAAAGATGCCTTGCCCCCCAAGATCCTAGCCACTTGATACTGGACTATGTTCTCAGCAGGAAAGGGCGTGCAAGTCTTGTCCTAAGCATTCCTGCCCGCGACCTACTTCTCCAGCGCTTCTATCTAGGACAGGTCATATGTCACCTAGCGAAAATGGCCATCTCGAGCTACGTTGGGGTCGGAGCCTGGATCCTCCAGGTCATTGACACAAGCTCCTGCAGAGACGGGCAGCCTGCTAACACAGAATACAGACCATCTTCGCCCTCGTCGCGCTGGCTCTGTCGATCGACCTTCTGAGGGGGCAACTTGACGGGGCCCCGCCTGGCTCGATCCAGTTTGCCGTCTTCGTGGGATCAGTAGGCCTCGTCGTGGCGCTCCTGGGGCTGGCTGGCATGTTTGTCGACAAGATACCTAGCAACGTCGTCATGGTGTTCGACGTGATGAGCGGTCTGCTCCTGATTGGCGGCGGCATTGTCAGTGTCCTTGCCGTGCGAACGGATGCCCGATGGTGGGGTTCGTGCTGACAGTCGTGCAGGCGTATGCCGTTGCTCTCGGTGGTATCGAGTGCGAGAGGCATGAGAGCTCGGACGAGGTTGTAGGGAAAGATTGGTGGGAAAGCCCAATCGTCAATGCAGGTTCTCAGAACTATCATGGAACCCGAAAACTGGACTTGCGGCGGTGTCAGAAGGCATATGCAAACCAGGCCATCCAGTTTGCATGTGCCGTCACAGCCCTGGGAACTGCATTCCTCTGCTATTTGGCATGGAGGAGGACTGGTGCAGGCTGGGCAAGGCCGGCCATGCCTTGAAAATGAAGTGCTCTGGGAACGGAGGACGTGACGACGCTTCGTGCAGGTGCGAAGATTCGTACCACACCGCGACTCCCGTTCGAATGCATGTAGTTTATCAGGAAGCCACCAGATTGGTCGTGTGCACACTTGGCAATTCGGAGGCGCTGAGACCTCTGTCTGTAAATCGCCGACGGTATGACTGCGAAACAGCGAATGTCCAGCATCGGATTCTTTGGCGGGGACGCAAACATCGTGCGTGGGCCACAAGTAGACACCAATGATGACCAAGGGGCCCGGGATCCTGCCGTCTTTCAGCGATGGAACTCATCTGGACACAGCACCAGTGATTCACGCCGCAGCCTTCAACTGGCTTGGCTTCTCATCGCAAGAATTGCTCAGTCAGTCGAGCATATTGCTCAATCAGTCGAGCATACTGCTCAATCAGTCGAGCACGTCAGTCAAAGTCTGTCTGAAACCACCCCCGCGTCCTGGACTGAGAGACGTCCACGGCAGGTAGAAATGGAAACATTTGGTATTGGGGGCCGGGAACGGAAGAAAACCCATCGAAAACGGATAACCCTCAGCAAGCCGCATAGCGGAGCCGCCGTTAAGTTAAAATACACATGACGGTGTTTTTTAACCCATACTGATGATGAAGAAGAAGAGAAAAGCGCAGGAGGAGCGACGACAAGAAATCTTTTTATGCTGCTGCAGAGTGGGGTTGGCGGGCCCCTGCCTAGCCCAGACTCGGCTTTTTTCTCTCTCTCTGCCTGTTCGCTGTTCGGCGCCGACCTCACTGTCTGGTCAAGTGAATTGCCGTGGTTCAACCGGCTGGACAGCTTGATAGTTGGCCTGTGCTCAAGCTGCCCAATACCCACCTTTTACTGTCCATGTTTGGATGGTGTCAATGAGTGATTGAGACGAAAAGTAATAATTTGGCATTCAGTCGCTAATGCTTCAGGAAGACCTCAAACAGACATATATGGAAGTTGGTCAAGAAACAAGACAGAACTCTTCAGCCTAAGCCATAGACCCATCAAGCTCAACGCCTCGAAACGCCTAAGGTGATCGGTAGGCAGGCATACTTACCTCACGGCCAATCATCGCCCCGTCGGTCACGTACATGTACACCTGCCTCAACGAGCAGCGCCAGCAGGTATGACGCCCTCACGTCATTGCCTGTTGTTCGGTTCCAAGCTCCCACAACAGCCGCCACAGTAAGTCGTCGCGTCTGCTGCGTCGAACGCTTGACCCGTAGCCTTCTCTCAATTTACCATCCTGCCACATTCACGATCATAAGAAGGGTCACTCTCACCACCATCCTTCAATTGCTCTTGTGTACCGTCAACTTCATCACCTCCAAAATGGCGCCGGTACCCATTGATCCGGACATCGAGTATGTTGATCGCATGCCTCGAGTTGTAAAATTCCATCCTGACAACACTCCAGCTATCTCGCGGTCGCGGCCGTTGGCAGCCACGCCACCAGTGTCGCCGTCCTGACAGCATACGTCGCCCGAAGCCTGTATCGGTCTTACACGTCGCTCTCGCCAGCCCAAGGAACGAGAGAAAGGCTCACGCGACGGTCGATCCTCACACCGCTTTTCGCAGGCCTCGCGACCCTAAGTCTTGCTCTGGCAGGCTATACAACCTCTAGATATGCGACCCTGTCTTACAAAGTCTGGGCCGATCAGCGCGCTCTCGAGATTCCCGCCAGGTCAGCCGCCAGTGCCGCCCTGAACCCGTGTTGCTCTCTGCTAAAGTTTCTGTCACAGAGTATATGGCGAGAAGGGCATTCTTCCCTATGACAACAACTCGACCCATGTCTACGTTGCCCGGTGGCTGACCGACACGCCTGTCTACCTGGACGCCCTCGAGATCGTGGCCGAGAAGGCGCGTCGCTACTGGTGGGGTCAGCAAGTTGAGCTCGCTACCATAGCTTGGAGCCTGTTGCTGTCCATCGAAGGCCGCAGGAGGAACATCCCGTTTCTCTGGGCGTACCTTGCCCTGGCGCATCTTGTCAACCTGTCTTTCGCCCAGAACTTGTTTTATCTTGCGCTGCTTCTGACACCCACGCCGATCGTCTCGGCGGGTGAGGGCCCCCCCACATCGGCACTCGGCAGGCTTCGGAACCGCCTGTTCCCTCCCAAGCCGGCAGGTTGGACGCCGAGCGTGGCACTTCTCATGGCAGCACTGACCCAGAGTTTCGGTGTGCTCTTCTGCGTTCCTGCCGTGGCAGGCAGCCCTGGCTTCCCTGCGCTGGCAGTCGCTGGGAAGGCGCTCACGTTTGCACCGCTGCTCATCCCAGCTATTGCGCCAGCCAGATGGGGCACCGTCCATGCGCCCCCTCGCGCTGGCTACGGTGACTTGACGGAGCTCTTCCGGTTTGTGTCCATGGCTACTTTTGGCCTGCAAGCCAAGGCAACCGTCCTTGGCCTGATCTACAACGCTCCAGATGCCCACTACCATCGCCACAGCAAGTTCCTTCCCTTTGACAAGGAGACACGCTCGACACTGGAGCAGACGACCATGGCGTTCAGTAAGATTCTTGGCTCTACGGCGGACCACCCTGTGGTGGCAGCTGCGGCATGGGACGTGCTGCTGAGTGGCGTCAGCTTGGCTGTCTGGGCCGCCGTTCGACCGTTGGACATCAACGACATACTGGCGTGCGCGACACCATTCTTTAAGAACAGAGTGCTGGACGCGGATGCTGCCGTTCACGCTGCTGGTGACATGGATGAGCCGTCTGCCGTTGTTGTCCGCAGCAGTGGCCGTACCACGCGGCCATCTGCGGCGAGCCTGTCGCCCGCCGCCGAGACGCCGGGTCCGAAACGCCGCGGACGGCCCCGCAAGATCAAGACGGAGGCAAACGATGTGGCCGACAGTGCCTACATCCCTTCGCCCACCGAAAGCGCGGCCATCATTGCCGGGGACCAGGTTCCCCAGGAAGACCTGGACTGGGAGGCCACTGCGCTGACCTGGGGCCTCAACGCTCTGGGCGGGCTTGGGCTAGGAAGCTCTGGCGTGTTTGGAGCGGAGTGTATTTCGCGATGATTACGAGATGAGAAGCTGCTGCTCCGAGAACTTACGATAGGAGGAACGTGCGAGCGGGATGGGCTTGCCACAGAGTCCAGACGTGGCCTTTTTCTGGTCCAACCCCCTTCCTACTACGGGGTAATTGAGGGGTAGATAGGAGAACACAAGACACGATACCCCAGATTACGATTCGACAGTGGCTGTCTGGGGAAGCAATTAGCAAGGTAATAATTACGTTGGTGAAATGTCGACTCGTTCGCCACGCCTCGCCAACTCTGTCAAGTCGCGCACGTAATCTCGCGATCTTCCGCTTGCCTCCATTTCAGAGCTCGCACAAACGCCGTGGTGCGTTTGAGTGCGTACGCACCCCACACGCATCTCCCGAGTGGGAAGGGAAAAAAAAAAGTCAATTCGGACTTGGCTTTTTCTTCAAGAGAGTGCCGCGATTCATGGTCCCTGTTCTGCTTGGCCACGGCCCTTTCCCCGCCGGCGCCATTAGAGGAGAGAGATGCGCGGGGAGGCATGCGCTCATTCGCGGACAGCTCTCCGGGCCTTTCGTCCTCTCTTCATCCGACTTTTTGCCTTTGCCAGCCTCTCTCTATTCCCCCCAAGGCTAACGAGGAACCGGGGGCGGACTCCGAGGACTAAAGCCGCCGACCCCGTCCCCGGCAGGGGAGCTGATGAGTCCGTCTGGCTCGCCGCATGCGGCACCCCTTGAGGCAGCTTGAGGCAGGGCGCGCGGCGTGGCAAAGTCGCTGCGAGGGGAAAATGTGCCAGATACGGATCTTATCATGGCCCGTTACGATGGAATGGAAAACGGCAAGAACTATAGACAGATACATGCACGGCGCAGCGCAGCAAATGGGCTGTTCGCTTAACAGAGCCTCAATCATCAAAGCAAGTAGCCACCTCTGCCGCGATGTTTCTCCCTCGCTATGCATGTTATCTGCTCTCTCT